GGTGTTTTTAGATGTTCTTCTAGTATCATGATTTTAAAGTTAACTACTGAAGAGAGGTCCTTCAAATTTTTAGGGTAAATATCTGGTCTGTGAAATTGGACTACAGGAGTGGAGCTCATGTTAAGATGGAATGATGGATGCTTGAACACCCGATCACTGATAGCAGATTTTGTGGTCTGTAGAAACCTCACTTTGGCTTTTAGAGAATATTTTATTCAGTTTCTTACATACAAGACACATACTATTATTTAAAATGGTCAGGTGAATGGTTTCACACATATGAAGGCATGAATATGAGGGGGGTAAAATCATTTTTATTTATCTTCAGTGTAGGGACTTTGTGGGGATTTATGCTTCAGATGAATGTCTACATCATAGCTACGTCATAACTACAAACCCATCTGAAACCCCTATGCCGTAACCTGACCTGCAACTCTCTAGAAATGTAAAGTAAATGTCACATTGACGCAGACCAAAACTATTGTGAGTGGCCTGTTCAGTACTGTCAATTCCCCCAATAATAATATTAATAATAATAATGACTCCAAAATGATGGCAATTCCTTGAGCGGGATTGCTGAAGCTACCAGAAATGGATGTGAGGGAAATGTACAAGGACTCTGAAAAACTTGAGGGATAAATATGATACATAGAAGGGGAATGAAGTCCCAGCATTTTGTTTCTTTTGACTGTCGCTGCATATAAACACAAGGTAGCTGACACGTAATGCGCTGACATTTAATGCGCTACCACATGCGTTGGCCGCTTACGAATACTTCATTACTACACTGCACTTTTTAGAGTCCATATTCGTGAAGCAGTTAAATTAATTTTACATAGAATTTCATAAAAATATTGAATAAAATGGCAGCTCAAAAATAATGTTAGTGGTATTTTTAGATATTTTTCTCTCTTTATCCCTTGAGAAAACTGATGATACATACCTGAATTTTTTTGAAATTCCCATCAAGAAGTTTATTTTTACCCTGTATTTTTTTTCAGATAGTTAGGTGAGAAGTATTTGATGAAGCAGCATGGAATGGCCTAGAAGAAAGGAGCTTAATTACACTGAAAAATAAAAAATAAAATTTGGGATTTTAGTTTCCAACCTCGAGATCAAGACTGTTTTAACCTGTCCGTTATCTAACTTGTGCCTTTTTTAATGAAATATTAAATACTTATATTCCTTAGAGTTCCAAATATTTATTTAAGTTAAATCAAATACGTTTAGATAGAAAAATGTAATTCTTTGATGTTTATAAGTTGTAAGGAATCGGTTATTAATCTGGTGTTCTTTTAGCATAAATAGCTCAGTGAACATATTATTTTGTATATTCAGATTTTGAGAGCTGAGCAGCAATATTCTTTTAGTTTTTAACAAGTCGTTTGGATGTAGAAGTACTTTTTTTCATGCATATTCACTCTGTGCAGAAAAAGCAGCACAATTTGTTGGAAAACACAAAATGTTAACTTTACAACAAATTTTCACTCTTTGCTCTGCTAATCCGGTTTACCATTTAAAAAAAAGGCTATTTCCTGCAGCTTGCCCATTCATTATTAATTTAGTACTCATTTATCAGTTGATGCAAAAAAACAAACAGACTTCTATTGTCCACACTTGGGATTTCACATATTTCGGCTGCAGATATGACCTTCAGCTAATGATTTGTCACCTGGTACGGACAGCATGTGCAGCATTTAGCTGCTTGATCTTAACATCTGTGAAATTTTAACAGCCGAGGCGCTGAAGGTTTATACATTAACCTTTGTGCTTCCACATTTCCCTGTCTCCTTGTTGCCCGTTTACCAATCGGACAGTTTGCTGTCTGACCCACCCGTCCCGTCTCCCATATCCTGTCCAACAACATCAGGACGTTAGAGGCTTTTACCGCTGGACTTTACTGTAAAACAACAACCTGATCTCCTGCCTGTTATTGACGGCTGAATCGCGCCAGTCAGCGGTCCATTTTACAGTCAAGAGAGGGCATTTAGTTTATTTGATGAGTCTATTCAGTTGCTGACTACAGAAACCTGCATGGCACAAATGCTTTTTTTTACTGACTGCTTTACCTTCACCAGCAGCTTCGTTATGTGTTTGCATGTGTGAGCGATATGTTGACCTTTGTTGTTCCCGTGTGACAAATGAATGGCTGCACTGATAATGAGGTTTTTATAACTGACAGAGAAAGCTGTTGAATGTCACCGCTGATGTCCAAATAACATCCAGTCCATCTGAGCTACACGCAAATAACTCTCGACATGCATCTGCACAGCCCCTGGTTTGAATAGGCTGTGCTCTATTTAAATATTTGAATACATCCTGGGGAGGTGAACATTTGGTATTGAATGAGCAGTGAGGCTTAGAGAAGGCAAAATGTAATGAACTTCATAATCCAGTGTAAATATAGCTCTACCAGCATGATTTCCATATATTGGCCCGTGTTCTTTATAATACAGTACACCCAACTCGGTGTTTTTAGTGATGTTCCTGGCTACTGATTTACTGGTCAGTTAAACAGGAGAAGAAAATAAGTAATAGATGAGTCTGAAAATAAGAAAGCATTCCAAAAGGAGGCTAAATTAACCCCAGCGTGGCAGGCCAAGTTCAGATATGTCTGTACAGATAATGTGTTTATTTAAGCGCCTTTTCAAATCATTAAATATGTTTTTCAGTTATCAGATCATATTTGAAAGTCTCATGAATTGCTTGATGTCAGATTCGTTAAACTGGTTAACCTTAGCAATGCTACCTTACATGCTGCTAGTAGCAGCATGTGCTACTAGCAGCATGTCTGTACATCTGTTTACTCTGTCACAGCTGACGTAAAGCAAACTTACAGTAAAACCAATGTTACTTAAAAAACGTTGAAACAGTCGGCGGCTGCCAGATGATTTCATTGAATTTTGTTTACAATCTGCAACCGGCTGGAACTTGCGGTGACTAAATGGTTGCTCGCAGGTTTGAGGGCATTGCACACTCACGACCACTTGCGATTGAACAGGTCACCTGATAGGAGTCAACCTTTGTGCAGTGGTCACAGTCACAGTCTGACTTGGTTTGCAAATCATTACTAATTTATAACTGTTGTAGATTAAGAAAATATGAAAAAGTAGTTTAACCATGTGAGATCTATGAGATTTATGCTTCTGCGCTGTGTCTGTGTTGTAGGTTGGTCATAGCTGCAAACACTTCTGTTGCTGAGTAGCGAGCAGAACTGTTCTGGTCGTGCACATCTCTAATTTTATTACCAAATAAATTTACAGTTGCACGTTATATTAACGGAACTATTTTAAGTTCACATGACTCACTGTCACTGTTTCCTACAGTTTGCTCTTAAAATAAGTTTGTGATCACTGCATTCGTTGTTGGCTTCTCCACCTGTGACGATATCACAGCCTAGTAACCATTAATGCTGACACTCATGAATGCATGTATGAATGGCAACACTCATAAAAAACACACATCAACAAACAGAAAGCTGTCTCTCCCTCTCTGTAATCTGACAACATCTGAGCTTCAATAGTGATTTATCATTGAAATCGTAGCAACGACTGACAGTATCGTACGCTCGCACCTTTCATCTCAGCCGAGCCTCCCAGGGTACAAAATCTGAGAGCTGCACAACAAGTATAAACTGAGCTCTGAGTGGACTGGACCACTAAAGCTAATGTTTTCTACCCTCTAGTAAAAAAAAACCTTCAAGTTGGGCACTTTCTTTTATTGTGAGTACATTTAAATTCTTCTGAAAACATTGTAAGAAATAACTGAATCTTCATCTGGTTCCTCTTAGTTTTTCCACATTCAGCCAGGTAAAATAAATCCTGCTGCAGTAAATCAAAGAAACCAATCAGCATGGTTTAAACACCTTGCTTTGGTGGAGTGTGGTATACCGTGGGTAATGTCAGTATGAAGGCTGCATGTATTAAAGCTGACAGCGATTCAGACCTCTGCCTCTGATTAAATTAACTATTAAGTTAACCTGGTTCATCTTGATTAATTTTTGTCAACTTGGTTCCAGAGAACATGTCAGAGTCCAAAGTTTAAGCCCTCCTCCTTTGTAATTTTTGTCTTCTGCAAAGCCATCCAATATGCCAGATCATGAGTAGTTTCAAGCCCCTGGGCCACATTCAAGATCCACAAGGAGGCTGTTGGATGACAATGACAAAGATAGAAAGAGAAAGTAAAAGCAAGAACTGTTCCAAATATAAATGAAAGAGAAAAACTAGAATATGAATGAAGAAGCTACTTTCAGATGCTCCCTTATTCGTGAGAGGTCACCGTAACACCATCAAACTGATGATCTTTTGCTTGTTAGGCGAATATGAAAATGTTATATTATTAAACCAGTTTGATTTGAGATTAGAGCTGATTCTGTTGGAGTAAAGGAGCTGTGTGATATCCAGTGATTTCTAGTATTAAAAACATGTATCCTCCAGAAAAAACTCCGGAAGATTAGTGTCATGACTCAACTTCCTTCTCTGCTACAGGAATAAAAGAAGCTGCCATGAACTTTGAGCGGATTTTACAGTTTTGATCTGCTGTGTAAAAAGTCTTAGAGTTAACTGTGAAAATGCTTAAATTATCTCAAAATGTGTGAGTGTTAAATGAAGCATTTTGTTTAGCTTGAAGTCGCTTCTCACTGTGCAATCTGCAGGCAGCTGAAATCTTTTTTTTTTTTCTTCTTCTTTCTGTTCTCGTTTTTGTCTCCAGCACCTCTTACAGTGTATGTGTGGCAACAACATGTCTGTGCCGCTGCTCGCCGAGGCTGTGACGGTGTCTGGGGTGGAGAAGGAGACCGCGGCGGTGAGTGAAAGCACAAAACCTGACATAACTTTATTTACCTCAAACGCTGCTGGAGTGTTTTTGTGGCCTTAATCAAACAGTGCTTTTAATTTTGACTTTGGCTGCTCGGGCAACACCGCCCAAATAGAAACAGAAAAACAGGTGAGACAAAGACTATGAGGTACTCAAAGCTGTCACTTGTGACACGAAGTTTGGCGTAAGACCGAATGGAAATTGTTTCCGAGCGGCACTTCACACTTCTGTGAAGTATGGTGAACTTTGGTGTCACATCTGTGCTGTGGAAACATTCAGGCTACCAAGACAGGTGTAATTTAAATTTAAAAAAAAACAAAACATAACAGTCGCAGACAAAATGGTGCTTATATACTTACCTAAAAGCAGAACAAGCTCCCGATTATGTGTGGTTTTCTCATTTAATTTTTTTTTTGTTTTTAGGATCACATTAAAATGTTATTTTTAAAACTTTCATTTATTTTACACACACCTGACTAAATGATAAGCCACCTACACAAAGACCCACAAATCAATACTAGCCCTCAGAGGGTCCTGGGGACATGTCCTTGGGATCACGAATGTCAGTTTGCTTTATATCTGACAGCATGAAAAAAAATAAAATGCATGCAAATCTGTGTTGCTGCCAATTATTGACCCATCTGCAGGCCTAATAAAAACAATAATCAAACATTTCTTGAAATGTAGTTAGAACAAATATAGAACTGGCGGGTGCTGGCGCCTATCCCAGCTACCATAGGGTGAGAGGCAGGGTACACCCTGGACGGGTCGCCAGTCTGTCGCATTGCTAACACATAGAGACACAGATAGAGATACAAATTTCCACCCAGCACTGTGATCAATATCAAGAAATTTGACTTTTTGTACTTTACTTCTGTAGCCATGCCAGTCCTGTTTTATGGCTCACCTGTAGCTTCACCTGCAGCAGCACATGTAACGAGTGTTACAGCAGAGTAATCAGGCCCATTGTGTCAACACTCAGCTGGATCTCAGAGTGAAAATTAAATAAGTCTCTTATCAGGCTGATACTGGATACCGTGCAGGGTTTTGTTAAACATCAGGATCAAAGCTGACTGTTCCAGCTCTGAACCCTACATGGAAGAAAAGTGTTTTGATCTGCACAAAGAGCCAATTCTCTGACTTCTAGCCAACAAACATCGAGTTGCCAGTCTTCTGAACTGTCATTAGTCCCTTTCATGGTTTCTCTGCAGGAAGTATAATGTGTGGAAACTCGCAGTGAGAGTAGATCTTGGCAGGAATGTAAGACTGGCACCTGGTTTTCTTCTGCAAACTTGTGGCTGTAGCACTCTGTGTCCAGAAGGCTGGTAAATTGTATTGAAGATCAAAGAGTTTTTTTGTTTTTCATCTGTGAAGTGCAAGATGGACTTGAACATACTGTCCAGATCACAGGAAGAAAAGTTTCTGTTACCAATCAGTACTGGGAACAGATAAGGCCTCTGTGTCTGCATTTAGAAGGAAGTGTTTCCCATATATTTGTGAAGCTTGTGTAAGAGAAAATAATTCTGCTGTCTCCATCTGTGCTGCAGGTGATCTTCCTTCATGGTTTGGGAGACTCAGGGTGAGTAACTTTATTTCTGTTTTCTGTGAGGTGCAGTTAAAAAGTTCAGTTTCAGTTTGCAGTTAAAACGTTTCTGATCATACCTTGAAGGATATCTTCTTGTGCACCTTTGGGCCGCTTTCAGCATAGCTGTTTTTTTTTGTAGATCGCCCTGTTGGAGTTTTGTCTGACCACTCGTATTTTACCTCTTTTGTCAAAACAGACATTTACCAAGATTTGTATTTTGAGCCAAATCTGAGGGAGATGCTTTTGGTGAATAGAACAGGTGATGAGCCTCAAATGCCATCACCTACAGACCACATCATTTCTGGTTAAAGGTTTCCCTCGTACAGCTCAAAATGTTACAGGGACAAATTCAGAGTGTATGGTGGAGGAAAAACCCAAAAGCATTCATGTAGCAACATAAAGGCATAAAGTATGCTAGGGTGCGCTTGGGTCAGAGAGATGCAGTTTTCATTATCGAATGGTGAGTGTTAGGCTAGTGCGGATTCATCTCTGGAGACACTACACAACAGTGCAGCAATTGTGAATACAACCTACAGGCATACATCAAGCAAGCTGCAATTATAATGCCTGCTTTAACCCCACAACACTAACGTCCAGTTTTGTAACACTATCACTAATGCTGGGTATATTTTTATCCAATATAATATACCCAATAAAACAAAGAAATAACGAAACTGGGAAGTTGTTTTTCTGTCCACTCACTCCTGGGACACATTAGCCTTGTCAAGTAAAGGTGCATTCTCACTGAATCTCTGACATCTGTGGGAAAAGTTTTAAAAACAAAAGACCAGCTGACTATAAATGTTTTACCATATGAATTCCCTTGGAAATTACCACTAAGTAATTTTTATTCAACACTTGATGAAAATCACGCGACATTAGTGTTCTAGTGTTAAGAGGCGTCCACACAGGAAACAGCTAGCAGTAACATGGCAACAATGTAGAAAGTCTGCGATATTCAGCGATTTCATGTGATGCCAGGCAAACACAAAGCGAGTCTGCGGTTTCTCAACTTCAAGGCGAGTGATTGAAGTGACTACCACTGAGAGCAAAGATTACCACTGATTGACATACCGTATTATAGGGTAGTAAATATATTAGAGGGTTGCCTAGGCAACCAGAGCCTGAACTATCTGCTAGCAACCACCTGTCAGCTGCAAACCAATTTGCAAGTGAATTGCTTTCTCTGTGGACGCCTGTTCAGGCACGGACACTGTGAGCTCTGTAGGATTTACTGGTCACCCTGCATTCCTGCTCTCACCTGTGGACACAAACTGAGTCAAGCAAAAAGAATCGAATTGCAGATACAAGTACTTTTCTCCAAAAGGCTGTCTGGACTCTCTCTTAGAGGTAGGATGAAGAGCTCCACTTTTCAAGAAGGGCTCACAGTAAGAGCCAGTTGAGGTGGTTTGGGTATCTGACCAGGATTCCTCCTGGGCGACTGGGCACTGCAGGCTCTTCAGCTGAAACCTGCTGTGTTGTGGTTCAGCTCATCACCAAGACTCTTGATATGTGGATAATAGTTAAAACGTTTTGCATTTCCATTTATGGAGTATAACTGGAACAGTTTTCCAGTGGACCTGCAACAAGGTTCAAGCATTATTCAGTTCAAAGAATTTCCAAAACCTGCTTTTGGAGAAATTTGAAAACGATGCCTGATAGTATATATATATATTTATGTTAAGAGTGTTGAGCATGGGGTAGGGATTAATATTTATGTACCTGCTCCTTCCTACTCCAAGTCGGACATTATGATTGAGTTGGTATTTCATGTCACATAGATTTTGTTGATTTTGTATGCACACATATATCTGTGTATATGTATACGCAGACAGTGTTGGGAAGGTTACTTTTAAAATGTATTCCATTACAGAATACAGAATACATGTCCCAAAATGTATTCTGTAACGTATTCC